TCCACCAGAAGCAAGGTCCAACTACGAACTGGAGCAAAACAAAAGTTTCCTTGAGCCAAAATGGCTACGCGTTGGTTGACCGCAGCGCTTCATGAGGAAACCTCGATCGTCGGCGCGGATCCCGTCCATCTCCATCATCACATCGCCCTTTTGCACCACGATGATCACTGTCAAATTGCTCGTGGGTGCCGACCCGACCTCGTTGATCCGAATCAACTGACTGAAAGTCATAAACCTGACAAAAACTGCTGGGCCGATCACCTTGCGGGTTTTCTCGGTTCCCACTTTGTCCGTACCGGACACCAAAAACTTCACCACCACGATTTTCTCGGTTGCTAATCCGTTCGCCTCCAAGATGTCCCGGATTCCCAGCGCGATCACTATGTGGCTCTTGAAAACTTGTAATGCCCGCATTTTTGTGAGAACTGCTTGATCTCGGCCGTTTACCACCAGGATAATCCCTTGGATGACCAGATGCATCAACTCGACCATACAGTTCTTTTGGGCGATTTTCACGTCCTAGATTGCCAAACTTGTCACCATGAGGAACAGCAAAACGTCCAGGATAACCTGCTTGATCTCCTGGGAGAGTTCAGGACGTCCAGCTTGGATCCTTTGAGTTGGCTGGCCATGACCTGGTTTCCAATCCAACACTGGTAGACCTGCAATCCCTGGTGGTTCAAAAAGTTCTTGTGGTAGTCCATGAAGCCCTTCTGCATGGTTGTTCATAGGGTTCCCGGACAACATCAATTCCTCGCTGATGCCGTCGTGCCCATTCGTGGAACATAACAATCCTGTCCCACAGGCACAAGACATTGCTGCGTCGCAACAACCGGGTTCTCATTGACATTGGCATCTTTCCCATCACCTCCGTGGCCGCAATCTTTTCATGGGTTTCCATCGGAGCAAGGGATGCCAACATGTTGGCCTGCGCGTTGGGATCTTGATCGTCCAACACCTGCCGAATTTCGACCTCATACCGGTCCACCTGATGCTGGTGATTTATTTAACGGTGTGCAGCTTGGAAGCGGCGCTGGACAGCTTTAGGATCCGGCTCATCTTCAGCCCAGCGTTGCGGTGGCACATCCCAGTACCCGTGTCGCCATGCCGGACCTATGCTCTCTTTCTTCGGAACGGGCTTCCACATCACTCCCCAGCCATCACCAGCATGGACATTCTCGACCTCCGGGAATGGCGGCGTTGGCGGCAGCGGAGGCGGTGTCACGAAGACTTCAAGATCCTCCGGTGGCGGCCCCATTGGGAGTCGAGTTCCACCTGGCGTATGGTTCGGAACTGCACTTGTTGACTTCTTTGGCGTCGATGGCGGTTTCTCCATTTCGAATCATTTCAACCCATGACGAGGCATTTGACGCTGATCTCGCCATCGTACGGGGCCTTTCGTTTTTGGCCTCAAGTCGCTCCATTTCTTTAGCGACCTGACGGCCTCCTTGTACATGGTTTCCCCAAGCGCCTCTTCCAAGGAAGGTTCCACCTTGTTCTTCTTTTTGGACACGTCCCCTGTCTGGAGAGAGTCCCGAATGTCCACCTCAGGCTCCGAGCCCATGGCAGTGTCCCTGAAGCCAATTCATTTTCGGCTGCTCCGTCACCCTCATAGCGTCTCGAATGCCCTTGGTCCCATCCGTCTCCTTCTCAGATTCTCGAACGTCGCCCTTTTCCCTGACGTTGTGGTCTCCTTCGATCTCTTCTCAGCCAGCTCGGTCTCAGCACTGGGCATAGTTCCCTCAGTCTTGAGGGCCTCACTAGTCCTGGGAGGTAATACGCCTTCTGACTGCCAGCTGCTCGGAGGAGTTTGGAAACTAGACCATCCACCAAACGCTGAACTCCTGCCAGGTCGCCCACTTCGTTCTGTGTCTCCCAGTCGCCCTCCTAGATTTCCATCAGCCACGGGCCTTGGTGTATCCCCACCTGCCTCTTCACCTCGTTCACATTCATCTGCTGGGACAGGTGGCAGCTCATGGTCTGGAGTACGCTTTGGTAACCCAGCAGGACGAAGAGCTCGTAGACGGCGTTCATCACGTAGCCTCTCTGACCAGAATGGATTTGGTTCCACTGATCTTGTCCTTCTCAATGCCATGTTACAGCAAAGAAGGGTACATTGGGCTCATACCTGCAAGCGGGGCAAGCAGGGTTCCTTTTTACTTGGAGCTAAAGAACGCCTGCAGATGTACACGCACCTGCAGTGAGTTTATGCTGTGTGAGACAGCCCTTGCATGTTTCCCAAACCTGTCAAAATCAACTTGCAATATATATATAAATATATGATTAATTACATGTCAATATATATATATACATACATACATGTGTATTTATGTCTGTATGCATGTATGCATCTATGCATCTATGCATCTATCTATCTATCTATCTATCTATCTATCTATGTATCTATGTATCTACGTATCTACGTATCTATGTATCTATGTATCTATGCATCTATGTATCTATGTATCTATGTATCTATGTATTTATGTATCTATGTATCATTATGTATCTATGTATCTATGTGTCTATGTATCTATGTATCTATGTATGTATCTACATGCACAAGGTAGCCATTGTCATTTTCTGGCATTCGACTATCACATAAATGTTTCTTGCCAATATCTGTGGACAGTCTACACGTTATCCACATATATCCACATAACATCTTGTCATGGCGGAAATATGTTGATGGAAAGATGACTCCACCTGTTTCCTCTTGAATGTTTTGCACCCGAGCGCTGGGAAGTGATTCTAACAAGCTATTCGTTGAAATGCGATGCTTGCCTTGGGGTGGCTTGGAACTCCGGCTGAAAGCTTGCCACGGCCGCAATTGCCATTTTTAAAGAACTGACGCTGCTAGCACGCGCAATTACTGTGATTCGGACGCGACGATACGTACCAGTAACATGCGAAATATATACATTCCCTTTCATCTCTGTCACGATCGGTCTTCAACATGTTAATCATTTTACCGGGAATCGATTGGCGGAGTTTGACGTGGAAAGGGGTTGTGATTTTGCCATGGGATAATGTTCGGTGGCGAACAGTATAATACAGCAATGACGAAGAGCATGGACAGCCCTCGTGGCATACGGTCTTCAAGTTGTCAAGGGAATTCTGCAAGCAGGTGATGTTCAAAGGCTTTTCCGAGCCAATTTTCTTTGTTGAAACAGAGCCTTTTTCAAACCCTCTCTTTCTGCGAATATCTGTGAATACTACTGGAAGGTTGCATTCTCTAGATCCTCCCCTTGCTCAGTTGATTGGGCATTCATGTGTTGCTGGGTTCTCCTGAGCAAGGACTGACCTGACTCTGTTTGCCTCCGACTACAGACTATGTTCGCCGGTGATATCTCAAAAGAGACAGTGCTTGACACGATTGAAGCGGGATTCTCCTTGTAAGCAATGCATGAAAAAGTGGAAGCAGCCTCTCCCATACAAAGTACATCGATGTACAATCATTGTGCATTCAATCATCAGGGAAGATCACACAAAAACACAGCGTGCCTTGATGAACCAATATCTTTCGACGTGAAAAACTAATCTTGTAATTGCACTTGAACAAACTACACAAGGAATCAGATATCCACAATTCATGATGGCGGTCAATAATACCTAAATCTGTGTGCCATGCAGCCTTATTCAATCTTATTTGTAGAAATAAAGAGTTAAATACACAGCCTTCGCCAACAGCAAACCGATTCTTGTGACAAGATGTGCCAGTCGCGACGAATAACGCAAGGAGTTTGCATGCTGCAAAGTCACGAGAAACATCGAGAAACAGTCTTGTGAGCGACGCCCTGTAGAGTATTGCATCTTGTTGACTTGTTGAGTATCCAATTCGTCTCGTCTCCTATGCCATGTTGCTGCGTTGTTTTTTTCTGTCGGCTTGGTTGTGTGCCTGTGGGTCCACATGTGCCGCTAGGCGCAAAGGTTAGCCCTGTCTAACAATGTGCTGAGGACATCCGAGGACTCCAACATTAAGAACCAGCGCTACAACTAAGTGGAGCTCACACGGCTTACTCCCTTTCTACAAGAACAGATTCAAGCAAATAAGGACCCGTCACTGTTGAGGCTACATCTGAAAAATTGCAAAAAACTTACAGCAATAGTCCCGGACCATAGCAATTCCACCAAAGGCACGACAGACATCGACAGACGACATTCCCACGCACTTTCGCAAAAAAAACAACTCCACACTTGTCACACGGAAAGTCTCTTGTGAGGATCTCGGGCTCGGGGCCTGCACTTGCTAGTCGGAATCGTCCAGTGACCAAGGATTTCCAAGTTGTTCATCTTCCGCTTCAGCGCATTTTTTTTGCGCCCTCTAAAATCCCTATTGTGTTGTCATCGTGTGATACAATGTGTGAACATGGCTTTGGTGTAGAATCGTTGCACTGAAATGTGCTCGAATCAGTGCGCGTTTATTACCCTACAGTACAAGCGCTCCAACACGAAGTTTAGCTTCAAGTGAGTTGAGTTTGTCTTTTGTCATATGTGCCACTTCTGTTTTGAATATTGTTGAGAGTCCTCTTTCAAGGAATCCTCCCCATTTCGCAATCTGCTTTGTTTGCAGGGTCAGCTGTTGCATCGGTGACGGCTTACGATCCATATATACCCATGTTCATCATTTCTTATCCTTTCTCCATTTGTTTCCTCTCTTCAAGCCAAACTTCGCCCATTCTTTGAGGCACCTAAAACCTACCCGTGAAACAGCCAGCCAAGCCATGCCAAGCCAAGACGCTTTTGTTTCGACTTGGGATGCCAGGCGCGCCATCAGAGATGCACAATGGCCAGTGAGATTCAAGCTTTCAGATCCTTCTGCTGTGTTAAGTCATGTTAAGTCGTTCATTTAGTTTCTATGTTTCGGATCCAAAACGACTAAATAGAATTAAACATTTCTATAAACATAACCTAGTTATGTCAGTTGTCTCTACGCCATGGACAGTTCTGACTATCAAGAACCGTGCTAGCGTTTGAATCAAAGTAGACAATCTCAGGTGTCACTTCTTCAAGGTCAGCGTTGCAGAGGCCCTGAGTACAGAAGACCTGGGAAAGCGCCAAAGAAGGGCAAAGGACAGAATGTATAGGTAAAAGATCAACAGTTATATTTCATATTCTCCTGTATTCTTTTATATCTTCATCTGTCGTATCCTTTCAGCATATAATATATATATATATATACGTATATACGCATGATTATATGTAGAGAGAGAGAGAGAAAGAGGGATTAGGAGGGTATATTCCACTATGATGTGCACGTGTTTGTTCAGCATGAGTACGACACAAAGCATGGCATGATGTCCACTTTCTCTGATCTCCGCACCTGCTGTCAGCTCGTTGCAGGGGAGTGGAAGATCTTGTCGAATGCAGCGATTGATCGGCCTGGGCCTGGCCCATGGCTGCAACGCTGCTGGAGTTGCCCAAAACTCTCACCTGATGCGAGGTGCGGCCACTTGGCCACTTCGGTCACTTCGGGGTTAGGTCAACTGGATGAAGGATTGTATCCGTGGCTGGTTCTGGCTGGTTGTATCATGTTGATTCATGTTGTGGCAAAGTTCTTTTCTAAAAAGCGCTCAACAAGTTGGCGACCAGCGGTTTTTCCCAAACGATCAAATCACTCCTTCGATGCCAAGGAAGGCATCAAAAAAGACGAGAAGTGAATGCAACTTCTCCAAGGATTCGTACCAGGTCATGCCACACTTGGTTGTGTCATGGCCCCGTTGGAAGTTCTTCTTCCGGTGGTACGTGGTACGTTACTCCCCCAACTTCAACTTCACTCACCAACTTCGCTGTGTGACTGGGCTGCGGCTCGCGTTTCGCGAAACCATTGAAATTGGGCTGCTAGTGCATTTACCAATGCATGTGGTGCACCTTTCGAAAGGTATCAAATAGTCTGAAATCGTGTTGTTTGTGATGTTTGTGTTCTCAAATGCCAATCAAGAGTGAATTTTACGCAACATATCAGACCACAGATGTTTCATTCTTTCTAAGACCCAATCCAAACGCATCAAACACTGAGACACTGATCGTGCTGAGAGCACTGGCACCTAACCTGTCTTCAAAATTCTGCTGAATTCCCGCTTGCCGTGGAAGATAATCTCGCATAATCTCGCCATGAATCTCGGCCTAGTGCCATGGCGCCCGTGAATCCCTCACTGGCTTTGGAATGGCAGGAAGTCGAGGTCTGGAGCGAATGGCCTGGTGCTGTTACATGAAGGGATTATCAAGGCCGATGGCTCTCAAAAGATCTCACAAGGACGGGAAAGTCTCAAGTTGCGTTGCAACCATTTGCAACAAGATTTGAATGGAGACAAGCATGAAGGCATGAAGGGGAAACAAATCCAAGAATTTGCAGAACAAACAAATACGCAACTAGTATACAGATTATACCGTAAAACAGTAGTATAACTGTTCAAAAAAAACTTGACGGGCCAAGAATTCAAAACTTCAATAGCCGCAGCCGCCTGATCTTGGCGAAGCTTGCCAGGCAAGCGAGCACCCTCAGGTAGCCTGTAGGGTGCAAGGCGGTCTTTTCGGGCAGGTCGCCTGAGTGGACGGACAACCACCGACTGCATCTTTGATTTGTTCAAACGGGTGATGTGAATTTGCAAATGTATGGAGGCATCAAAAGAATTCAAAAGATACTGTACATGTTAGGATATGTTAGGTACTTTGACATCTTTGACCATCTTTTACCCACAAAAACGTCCAAAGGAAACACATTTGCAGTGGCACTAGCTGCCTCAATTCGACGCTTGAGGCTTGGGCGGTACGCAAAGGGTGCCCACATCTGGACTCCTGTTGAAGGCCTGAGCCAGTTGCGGTACAAAAAAGAACATCGTTTCAGAGGAGCTGACCTGGAGATGTTAAGATATGCATAGAGATGCTCTTGTTGTCAGGCTGCTGAGGGATCTTAGGATATCAAAAACACATTAGAATCAGATCAGTCAGATTTAAGTCAGATCAAGTCAAAGTATGTGAAAGTTCTGAGGAAGTTGCCCATCCACGGCCGTCAGCTAGCTTCAAGAAGACGAGGTCAGAAGGACCTGTGACAAGTTGACAGGAATATTATCAACTCTTAATTTTGACAGGAATACCTTGCGATCCATGGATCGGTGACCGATGCCATCCATTGCACTCATTGTGCGTCACTGTACATGATCCGAAGCTGAGAGAGTCGTACTTGTGCGATGGTGCAAGATTTGTCGCCAAAGACTCGTCTACATGAAAGTCGTGATCAGAACAGCAGAATATGTCATCTGTCGTGGCACCTTTTCGCTGTTCAGACACCACGAAGCTGTCACCAGGGTACAACTTCTGATTGCTACGAGGAGAATCAAGACCTGCAGGAAGTTAGTGGCAAAGTGGCTAGTTCTGCTGCTTCAACGCGCAAGTGGCCCCTTGTTACACAACTTACAGGAAATTGTTATGACTATATACTATATATATATATATAATTATATGTATGTATATATATATATACATAATTATATATATATAATAATATATATTATGCATTACAGAATATCATATGTATATATTCTTAGCTATTCTTTGTGTTTTATCTCAGGCCCATTCCCGCAGATTTCAAGGGGATCGCGTGTCCAGGTGTCTTCGTCCAAGAAGCCAGGGCGAACTCGCAAGACCAAGGCCTTAGGGGGATCGTTCTTCGGTGGCTCAGAAGATAGATCTAACATGATCTAACAACGAACAATTGGATTTACCTGAGAAGGGGGGAACGAAAGCCAGCATCCCATCTACCCCTATTTTCCCCCAAAGATTTTTCACCCACAGACTTTTCACCCATATACTTTTCACCCGCAGACTGTTCAACCATATGGGTGAAAAGTATATGGGTGAAAGTCTGTGGGTGAAAAGTCTCTGGATGGAAAGTCTGTGCAAGAAGAGTTTCTGGGTGAAGAGTCTCTGGGTGAAAAGTATACGGGTGAAAAGTCTGGGGGTGAAAGGTAAATATACTTTTCACCCAAGAAAGACTGTTCAACCATATACTTTTCACCCACAGAATTTCACCCAGAAACTTTTCACCCACAGAATTATCACCCGCAGACTCTTCACCCACAGACTTTTTTTAGCCACAGACTTTTCACAGGCGAGGGGCTCACTTTGGGCATAAATTTGAGCTCACTGTGGGCATAATTTTTTGAGGTTCACTTTGGGCATAAATTGGGCTCAATTTGGGCATAAATGGGCTCACTTTGGGCATAAATGGGTTCACTTTGGGCATAAATGGGCTCGCTTTGGGCATAAATAAGCTCCCTTTGGGTTTTAAATGGGCTCACTTTGGGCATAAATGGTCTCACTTTGGTCATAAATGGGATCACTTTGGGCATAAAACGCATAGCCACGACACCTTTAGGGTTTATATGTTGTTGCACTTAATGTAAGAAGAGCCACGACACCTTTAGGATTTATATGTTGTTACACTTAATGCAGCAAGAACCACGACACCTTCAGGGTTTATATGTTGTTACACTTAATGTAAGAAGAGCCATGGCACCTTTAGGGTTTATTATATGTTGTTGCACTTAGTAGAAGAGACACGGCACCTTTAGGTTTATATACTTTTCACCCAGAGACTCTTCTTCCACAGGCTTTTCAGACTTTTCACCCAGAGACTCTTGACCAATATACGTACTTTTTACCCTCAGACTTTTCACCCAGGGGCTTTCACCAATACATTTTTCGCCCACAATTTTTAAGCCCACACTCTTTTCACCCACAGACTTTGCACCCTCAGACTTTTCACCCATACCCGTTTCACCTGTATACTTTTGACCCACGGGTTTTTCACCCGCACACTTTTCACCCACAGACTTTTCACCCAGACACTCTTCACCAATATGCTTTTTACCCTCAAATGTTTCCCCCATATACTTTTCACCCACAGACTTTTCACCTACCTTTCACCCACATGCTTTTAACCCACATTCTTTCACCCATATATTTACTGCTCACCCATATACTTTTCACCCGCAGACTGTTCAACCATATACCTTTCACCCCTAGACTTTTCACCCAGAGACTCTTCACCAATATATTTTTTACCCTCAGACTTTTCACCCATATACTTTTCTTCGTCCATATACCTTTCACTCATACACTTTTTGCCCAGAAACTTTTCACCCATATATTTTTTTTTTCATCCACAGACTTTTCACCCACAGACTTTGCACCCTCAGACTTTGCACCCTCAGACTTTTCACCCATACCTGTTTCACCCACATACTTTTGACCCATGGACCTAGAAAACAACCGGACCTAGGAGGAATCGATACCCACCGTCACTGTTTTGCCGCCTGGTACATTACCCTGCAAAATCATACCTTTCGCACGCCTAAAACACCACCGATTTACGACGTTTTCGGCCACTGTTGGCAACTACCCCCCCCCTCCGCTTCCCAGCTGGATAGTGGGAGAATCATGGGAGTTACTGGGATTTAATCTGGCTACAGAATCATGAATCATCTATCAATGGGCAATTTTCAATAGCAAACTGCAACAAATTACCAGAGGGTAGTAGTTGGGATGGATTTTAAGTTCAACCGGTAATAGGGATCTAGTTTCACCAAAATTTGGGATTTGTTGACATATGATCCCTAAATGATGTTTATCGCACAAAATGGATCAAAATGGGATGATTCCCTCCAAAGCCAAATGGCTTTGGAGTCGCCGGCGGTCGACGGTCCATTGGTCTTGCCAGCTCTTTTAATCGAGACACTCCACGCTGCCGGGGCTGAAAGCGCCAAACGTCTTTTGGGTGGGCCCCTTGCTTTTCCCTGGCGCTTCAGGGCACATGGCAATGATGTCAGTCTTGTCCTCATATTATCTATCGATCTATATATATATATATGTGTATATATATTTATACGTATATACACATACGTATATAATTTATATATATTTATATCATATGTATATATTATACGTTTCTCCTATATCTTCCAATACCTCCAATCACAAGGCCCTGTGTCAAAATTCAAGACTCAAGACCACACACGTTGGCCATGTCAAGCATTGGAGGGTCCAATGGTCTAGGTTGTCAAGCTTGACTCCTACATATATAGCATGACAAACAACAGTTGTTTGCAATTGTAACCAACTATACAAGCATCATGTTCCTCCTTTGCAATTCCAAACTGCATGAACACATAGCGCATTGTTCATGTTTGAACTATCCAAGTCTCCCAGTCAAAATCTGGTTCGGCGAAGCACTTTTGGATCACAACACATGTTAAAACCGTGGCATTGCTGAGTTGCCACACCTGGGCGGCCGTGGTATTCGCTTCTCAATCTGTTTCTCCAGCACCCGGAACTCGCCCTTGGATTTTCGAGCATCAACTGCAAAGCCACTTGATATTGATTCTTGTTTGAAATCTGATGAAATCTGCAAAAAAACGTGCAAAGGATTGTAAAGAATTGTAAAGGCATGTCCAAAATCCAAAAATATCCCAAAATATCCCAAAATCCCAACAAATCTGGCAATCTTTGAGAAATCAGAAATCAACCCAGAAATCGAGGTCTTCTGAGGGCTCAGCTCCAGTCCTCCTCCGTGCCGCCTCCGCTTCTTCTATCCTGTGGGAATGTGATTGGAATGTCATGACTCAGATGACGATAGCTCAATGCTCTACAGACGTGCATTAGTGACTAGAACATCTAGAACTGCCACAGGGTTTCTGCTGGCTGTTCAGTTGTCTCCGACTCCTGTGAGGCTTCCAACTCTCAACTTGCAGCCGTTGCTTCACTGCATCCCGTTCCCTTTCAGTGGCTTGCAGCCGCCGCTCCAACTGTTGTTGCAAAGATTCCTGTGAAGTGCTGAAATGGAACCAAGCCCGACAAAAGAACAACCATGAAGAATGCACAAGAAAGATGCGCAAGAACTATAAGAGCCTTCTCAAATACATCATGAACTCCTTGATTATGATACTCCAGTCTAGAAACGTCTTGAACGTACAACTTCTTCAGCTTCTCAAACTACACTTCCCTACGCTCCAGAACAGCAACAGCGTGGTCGCACTCAAAATCCTTGCCACTGAGCAACCATTCTTTGCATTTGGTCTTGCATCTTTTCGAGCTGTTCACGGAGGCTCTTCTTCTCTTTCATCAACTTTTCCTGGTAGCGGAAGAACCGGGAAGTGCAGCTACAAAAGCCAGTATATGCGTTATTTTTTAAATTCATTGTGAACATGTCAATGACGACAAGTGTCTACTTGACGAAATGCATCCCGTTCTGCTTGCGTTTTTGCTGCAGATTCGTTCTGCTGCTTTCGCAAGTCATCGAGCTCAGCTCGAGCCTTTTCCAACTCCTGCATGCCACCACTATGCGGCTATGCGCGATGCAGATGGTGGGGAAATGTCAGGGAAGGAAAATCATCTTTAACTGAACTTTAACTTTAGAGGCCAGTCTACAAAGAAAGATTCCCAGTCAAATAAAACAAATAAAGATACTTGAGGATTCTTGAGGAAAGCCCTAAAACAACGCCACCTGGCACGATGCTTTGAGATCCATCATCACATTCCCTGGGAATTGGTGCTGATTGTCACTCACCCTGATGACTCCTGGCTAGATGTTGCAAGCTCTTGCTGGTTTTGCTCGAGCATTTTGCGTAAGGCTTCCATCTCTTGCTGCATTAGCTGGAGTTGGGATGCCAACTTGTCATGCTCGTCCTCTTTACTCGCGAGCTCCGCTTGCAATGCTTCTTCACCATCCGAATATCCTTCGGAGTCTGATGGATGATATGAATGTGACGCAGACGTATAGCCCTCTTCTCCATGCTCATCCTCCGGCTCATCAGGTGACTCTTCAATGGGATCCTCGGGCTCGGAAGGCTCCGAATCTCGCTGAGGTGCCATAGGTGCCACAGCTGGGGTTTCCTCTGCATGACTAGCTTCAGCTTGAGCCTCCACTGTCTCCACTGGATCTGGGACTGGATCCAGACCAGGGTGTTTGGCATTGGATTCCGGTTTCGCCACGGGCGTCACAGGCGTCACAGGCACCACAGGCATCACAGGTGTGGCTGGATGACTGTCATGACCGTTGGACTCATTGATCTCATTTACAGGATCAGGGTCTACGGGATCCTCAGAAACCTGATCGATTTCTTCATCCCTTGGAACCTCATCCGCTGGAAACTCATGTGGCTGATTGATCTCATTGTCACTGACTGCGTCAACTTCAGCAATTTGGACATCTGGGCTTTCGCTTCTTTCGCTCCTTTCGCTTCTTTCGCTTCTTTCGCTTCTTCGCTCACTCGGCTGTGGGCTTTCAGCCACCACTTCTGGCTCACTGATTCCATCCTGGATGTCCTCAAGAGCTTCGACCCTCACCTCCATCTCAGAGCCATCTCCATCCACTGATTCAATGGGACTCAGTGGATCTGACCTGGCAAAGCTGGAAACTTCGAAGGAAAAATCATCACATCCTGAAAAGTCAGTTGTTTGGGGGGTCTTGTAATATCGGGTCTTGTAATATCTTGTCATCA